CACAGACACCTGCCTTGCCACTGTGAGAACAGGAGGCTGGACTAGACGGGCCCTTGGCCTGATCCAGCCAGCTCCTCTTATGTTTGCAAAGGATGTGGAAAGTGGGTGGGTGCAGGGAGTACAAGGTTAGGAAAGGGACCTCTTTAGCTGCATCATTTAGCTGCATCCATCTCCTCAGAGTATTGCGAAAGAACAATGTCAATCAACATTTGATGATCTCCTTCTACCGGTCCCCAATAGAAAGTGTCCTTTCATACTGCATCACGGTATGGTACGCTGGTTTGACATCAACTGATACAGAGGGTGGTGAATACAGCACAAGATATTATGGGCTGTACCATGAATTCGCTGGATGAAATAGCGGAAGAAAGTTGCTTCAGGGGAGTGAGGAAAATTCTCAGGGATGATTCACACCCTGGCCGGCACTTTCTTGATCTCCTGCCCTCAGAGAGAAGATATAGAAGCATGATTAGTCGCACCAACAGGGTAAAGAACAGCTTCTATCTGTGGGCTGTTAGGCTGCTGAATGAAAAGATAGCAACAGGGCAACTGACTTTCGGGTTTAGTGGGTGTGCGTCAGTAAACGAGGGGAATTAAGACTAAGAGAGCTGAGTGGGGGGTGCTCATGTAATCTCACTGTATACAAGTTGTACAACTGACAATAAAGTATTTCAATTCAATGATTTCAAACACACAGTGCTTCTCTTTTGAGATTTTTCAAAGCCACATACATTGGGTAACATCTTCCCATATACACAGCTCAATGGGGGTGAAATTTGCCTGCCTCCTGAGGAGGATTAAAAGGCAAATAAGCCGTTCTTTTGCTTATAGGCCCTGCCACCCTGCAGGGCACTTGCCCTCCGCCTGGTCCCACTCCTGCCCTCTTCCCTAGCTTCCTCGCGCCACTTTTCCTCCTTCCGCAACGGTGTTACTGGTGGTCTATTGCGTGCTCACCAGATGTTTTCCCCATGCTATCATAAGATTATTTTTAAAGTGGCTTCTTAGAACAGATGCTCCAGTATCCTTGCCTTGGCTTAAAGCGCTCTGTTCGACAAACAACAACAACCACGGAAAAAGAGCAGATTGCATTGCTGCTGTCCTTTTGATCTGAAGAGGAGGGAGGGGAGGGGAGGGGGGAGAGAAGAGGGAGAGAGGAAAATCCCACACACAAATGAGGCTGGCTTGCACTGCGGACCATTTGGCAGGAGAGCACCTGGGGCGGTGGGTGTCTCCTGCTTCCCTGCTCCTCATCACTGGTGCTGCCTGCAGATGTTTCATCGGGGCCTTTCTTCTGAAGCCTGCGCTTCCCCCTTGGTGACCTAGTCCCTCACTCCCACTGCTTTTGTTTAAGCTCGTGTTCAGCAGAGTGTCAGCACTGCCGGTTCCAAAGTATTTTCCGACTTCTGCCAGCATCCCGGCTTCATCACCCGCTTATCCTCGGTGGCCAGTTCTAGTTTGCTTGCAGGTCGTTTCTTACACGTAAACGTTCTGGGTCAAAAAAAGAAAAGAATAATAATCATTTTGCCTCCCCCTGTCCTCTTGAGTACATTGTAGGGGGGTGCTGATAAAATCCTGGATGTGCCATTAACAAGTGAAGTGTGCAGTGGCAAAAAAAATAAGAATAAAAATGTCAATATTGTTACGCACACCCCAATCTCTGAGCAGCAAGAGACTCGGGGGGGGGGCTGCCCTTTTCCAAGGTTCAGTTTCCTTGCAGTAAATGTCATCGGAGGCTGTGGTGTCTTTAGAATATATGGTTTTACCAGCATGCAGATGCAACCCCAGATGCGGACACGGGTGGCGCTGTGGACTAAACCACAGAGCCTAGGGCTTGCCGATCAGAAGGTCGGCGGTGCGCATCCCTGCGATGGGGTGAGCTCCCATTGCTCGGTCCCTGCTCCTGCCAACCTAGTAGTTCGAAAGCATGTCAAGTGCAAGTAGATAAATAGGTACCACTCTGGCAGGAAGGTAAACGGTGTTTCCGTGCGCTGCTCTGGTTCGCCAGAAGCGGCTTAGTCATGCTGGCCACATGACCCGGAAGCTGTACGCCGGCTCCCTCGGCCAATAAAGCGAGATGAGCGCAGCAACCCCAGAGTCTGCCACAACTGGACCTAATGGTCAGGGGTCCCTTTGCCTTTACATGCAACCTGAGCCTAGGGGGTGCCAGGGCACAACCTAAAAATTTCAGCAAATCTTGCCGCCCCATTAAGTTCCCAGGGAGAACTGACAACATTTGGGGTGCCCCATAGGCTGCATCAGTCTGCCTCCCAATCACTGGGAATGACAAGTGGGCTGGCGTTGCACCCAGATTCAGCTTCTGGGCTTCCCATAGGCATCCGGTTGGCCACTGTGAGAACAGGATACTGGACTCGATTGGTCATTGGCCTAATCCAGCAAGCCCTTTTTATTTTCTTATGGAATAGGATTGTGCTGCAATTTATTCAGCCAGTCTGCCCCAATCTTATTAACATTTTTTTAAAAGTTAACATTTAAATATTCAGATTGATTTTCAATGCTTCCTTTGAAGGCAAGCTAGAAAATTATCTCAATCTATTCCAAGCAAAGCCCCCGTTTGTTTCCCCTCATATTGTCCTTTAATTATATCCATTTGTGGGTTGCTGTCCTGCAGCAATGTCAAGAGAGCACACCCAAATTGTATTAAGCTCAGAAGAGTGGTTCTATAAAAGATTCAATAAAACCCATAAGGTGAATTTAAATGGGAAACAAGGAGCAATTTTGTAACAGATTTCCTCTTGCATGCAAACATTTTCCAGCTAATGGAATTGCAAAAAGGTATTTCAGAAATCTTCATTTTTGCCATTTGGCACAAGATATAAGATTGAGTCATTGTGGTTACACACATTACATTGATTTGTGATTTCCTCATTTACTAATTCACACACAAAAAATCTTAAACCAGTGGGTGAAACTCTGAAACAATAGATACAATAAGGACCCCACCCAGAGGGTGTTGGGCTTCTGAATTATCAACTTGTGCCATCATACGAGGGGTAGAGAGATCAGCAACAGCAGCAACAGCAACAGCCCTCTCTTTCGTCTTTCATCCTCCATACCCCTATCCTCTCATTCCCAGTTTGGAACCAAACATTCTGCACATGTAAGTACATGCAAGTGAATGGAACCAGCTGTTGTTGATGACTGCCACTCAGTCACGGAGTTACAAAAGCAGAATGGCTGAGGGTTGCTTTCCCAGGGAGATGCTGACTTTAGGGTTGCATTCCTCCCATACATTGAAAGGACATGGCTTTCCCCAAAGAACCTGGGGAATTGTAGTTTACTCCTTCACAGAGCTACAACTCCTGGCACCCTTAACACACTACAGTCGGTCAATAGGAGCATATTTCAAACCTCCTTAATTTTAATTTGCTTGCAGAAGAGGTACACGTACAGGACAACAATCTACACCAGGCATGTCCAAAGTCCGTTTCGGGGGTCTAATCCGGCCTACAGCTGGGTTTAATCTGGCCCCTGTGGCAGTTTATTTCCTGAGGTAAAATCAAAAAAGGTCAACAACTTTGGTCAGCCCTTTGGTCGGCCCCCATGGCCCTTCACTTCATCAAATCTGGCCCTCTTTGAAAAAAGTTTGGACACCACTGTTCTACACCCATGTCACAGTGAAGAACACCAAATAATAAAAGGTGTGTGTGTCTTCATGCCTTCATCTGTGGTGTGGGTGTTTTACCCTGTCCTTCACCCTAAGCCCAGTACCCAAGTTTGTTTGAGACAGTTTTACTTAGAAAGCCTTTTCAACCAAATTTTGTGTTTAAGATCTTTAGGAGCTTCTATGGTGCCTCTTTTGACACAAACTCACACCTACATTGTGGCACCATGTGAGATGTAACGTACCTAAACGTTACATCAGATAGTCTTCACGTATCTGTCTTTTCGGTTGATGAAAATGCTGTCTTCTGAGAGGATTGTGAAGGTTTACAGTGAATGTGTACACATTCTACCCACTGGTGTGAATGGAACATATGGGATGCACACACGGAAAATACACATGCAGAAAGTCATTTTCAAATTTTATTTGTAGCATACAACAGAAGAGCAATGACTGGATAGCACTAGGTGCCGCCTGTTTGGAAATAGTCACTTACAGGTGAAAAAAACACACTTGGAAGTAGTTCTTGTACAAAGAACTTGACTTTCCCCCTCCTCTGCCAAATAAGATGACATGGGTGCTGTATTCTCCACTACATCACTGTTGGAAACTTCAAGAAAGAGGCACCGATAAAAGTTCACTGTTATCCAAATGACTAGTACTTCTTCAAAAATTTAATCTGGGTTTCCTGTACAATTCACATACCACTACAACCAATAGACTGAAGCTAAATCCTGAAAGTGTGTCCAGGCACACCTCTTTAGCCTGACAGAAACATTTGCTGCTGTAATTTGTTTGAAAGCGCTTTGATATTTTATTTCATTGTAATTCACCCTGGGACCTTATGGTGAAAGGTGGGTAAGAAATAATAATAATAATAATAATAATAATAATAATAATAATAGGAACATAGGAAGCTGCATTATACTGACCACTGGTCAGACCACTGGTCCAGCTAACTCAGTATTGTATACACTGACAGACAGTGGCTGGGAAGCTGGCGCTGTGGTCTAAACCACTGAGCCTCTTGGGCTTGCCGAGCAGAAGGTCGGGGGTTCGAATCCCCGCAATGGGGTGAGCTCCCGTTGCTCTGTCCCAGCTCCTGCCAGCCTAGCAGTTCAAAAGCACGCCAAAAAAGTACAAGTAGATAAATAGGCACCACTGTGGCGGGAAGGTAAATGGCGTTTCCATACGCTCTGGTTTCCATCATGATGTTCTGTTGCACCAGTAGTGGCTTGGTCATGCTGGCCACATGACCCTTGGCCTGAAAGTGAGATGAGCGCCACAGCCCATAGTTGCCTTTGACTGGACTTAACTGTATAAGGGTCCTTTAACTTTTTTCCTCTCCTGGATTTCAGGCAGAAGTCTCTCCCAGTGCTGCCTGATGGCAGAGATTGAACCAGGGACCTTCCGCTTGCAAGGTAGATGCTTTACCACTGAGCTATGGCCTTCCCAAATAACAACAACCACTACTTACTACTACCATCTTTGATCCATGTGCAACTGTTGTTGTTTTTTTGAAGAATATTGCCCGAATAACCATTTTGCTTCTTTAAAGATTTCTTTTCCGAAGGATAGCAGCATTAAGCTGGAGTCATTTTGGGTCAACAAAACTTAAGTTTAAATGGGAGCGCTGCCATTGTTTTTCATGTGTGTATGTCAGGGAAGTTGATGATTGATTGTCCACAGCTTCAGGGTAAAAAATGCCATACGTTTAAAATCCTAGGATTACAACACATCTCTGTGTTATATCAGCACTTGGCAAAAATAGCACAGCCTATAATGATACTCCACATCAGGGATGGGGAAACCTGTGCCCCTCCAGATGTGCTAGACTCCGACTCACGTCATTGCTGATTCTTGGCCGTACTGGCTGGGGCTGATGGGAGCTGGAGTCAGTGGCGGCTGGTGTCCATTGAGACTGGTAAGGTGGGAAATGGAGAGACCAACTGTAGGTGGAGGCAGAACCAGTGACAGGCAGACCCAAGTAACTCGTTTTTGCCTCTATTGTCCTCCCAGCTGAGTTCTGCAAGGGACAACACTGAAACTAAGAAGGAAGCTGACAGGCTGGCTGTAAGAATGATGGCAGGTAGGGGCTGGCTGAGATCAGTTGACGTGGTGGTGCCCCATTCTCCCAGATAGACCAACCTTCCCTGGTTAGAGTCTAACAACATCTGGAGGGCACCAGGTTGGCAAAGACTGCCTTGAACTTTGTAAGCAGTGCATGATGGAGATAATATTTCCCTTTACTTTCTCCTTTGGAAGTTCAAAGGTACGCTGCTGCCAAAGATGGAGGCTCCGTTGGTAGTGATCATGGCTACACCCAAGACACTTGCACATTGTTATATCATCGCAATAGCAGCCAATTTCACAAAACATATCAAAGCTGTACAGTGGTACCTCGGGTTAAGTACTTAATTCATTCCGGAGGTCCGTTATTAACCTGAAACTGTTCTTAACCTGAAGCACCACTTTAGCTAATGGGGCCTCCTGCTGCTGCCACGCCGCCGGAGCCCGATTTCTGTTCTCATCCTGAAGCAAAGTTCTTAACCCGAGGTACTATTTCTGGGTTAGCGGAGTCTGTAACCTGAAGCGTATGTAACCTGAAGCGTATGTAACCCGAGGTACCACTGTTTGCAGCAACAACACATATGCAATAAAAAGAAGCAGAATCACAAATCACCAGCTAACTGTAAAAAAGAGGGGTTTCTTCTTTAATTGTCTGCATAAGCAAACATCTAAAAGTTAATACTAAGAGTGCCTGCTTATATTGCATATACAGATACCCTATTTTGTTCATCCTGAATATACAGTCAATGAATTTAATTGGATAGCCCAAAGTGTTCTAGTGTTTGGAGAGCAATTAAGAACTGGAGAGAAGTATATCTTCTAGCCAGGAAGAGGCATACAGAAAGATTTCTCTTCCAGTTGCTCATGATTTTATAAACATCTCCTTTTCTTCTTTCTTCAGACTAATCATCATCATCATCATCATCCCATTCTCTTTTGCCATAAAGAAATATGTTCTATATCATTGATCATTTTTTGGTTGTCTTTTTCTGACACTTCTCCAACTCTATGATATCATTTTAGAGGGGAAAGGCAACTAACTAACCTGAACTTGCAAAATGGATTCCAAATGTTGAAGCACTATCAACGTATGTAGTCAGAAAAAGAGAGGCAGGAGGACGACTGTTCTGATAAACCAAATTAATAGAACATCAGAAATCTCATACATTTATCTGTTTGTTTATTTGCTACCTTTCAGGGCAAAAGCCCTTCCAAGACGGCTGACGAAACATTATTTAAACAAAATCAAATAATATTTGACAAAGTACATATGAAAGAATTTAATTCCTGCTTAAAAATAAAATCTGTAAGATGGAGGGAGGGAAAGAGAGGTGAGGCCAGGGAGCTGGATGAACAAGAAATGTGTTTTCAAAGTCAATACACAACAATAAATGGATAGTAGCATTAAAAAAAAACACACAACCCTCATTTGGGAGGCTTCTGGGTTAGACTCCATCTCACTTGAGTGATTTACCCCCCAAATGAACATGTAACATTTCTCTCCTTGTGCAATTCTTTAATGGTCAGATCTACAAATTTCATAGAAACACTTGTATAACACATCACAAAAATACTGAGAGAGAGAAAAATGAAACCTTATGGGCAAAAACATAATGGATTACACAATAGGTTGTTCCAACTTGTTTGTGGTTCAGTACATTTATATATATATATATATATATATATATATATATATATATATATATATATATATACTGGTATCATTAGTCTGTTAGACTCTCAGGGCATTCTTCCAGACAATATATTTTTTTTAACCAGAAAATGATACCTCAAAGAAAACGAGTGCCAGGGGCTTAAAAGTTAACCCCCCTCCCTTTAGTTTGAAAGGTTACAACTTAATGGGATTTTTTTTTTAGTATATCAGCCTATTTTTCAGATGGAAGAGTGAAAACTTCAGCAAAGTAAAAGCTGGGATCCAGTGAGATATGTTTAAACATCTCTGAAGGATTTGTAGGTGACTGACCTTTTATTCTTCTCGAAGCCACCTCACCCCATGCGAGTTTACTGGCTACAATCCTATACTCACCTGAGATTAAAACTAAGATTTACTTCTGAGTAACATTAGAGGCTTGCATGATGCCATACAAATTAGGAAGTTCCTCAGATTGTTGTGAGGATGTCAAGATAATGCTTGCGAAGCCCTCTGAGCACACAGGAGAACCCTACAAATGATAGGTAGCGCTGATTATTATCACCAGACATATTACAACGTCCTGTTGAAACCACCCAGTGGGCTTCTGCTAAAGACAACAAGTCCTGTTGAAAGCGTTTCCACTTCTTAAGTTCTCAGAGGCACCCAGCCCAACTTTCAGATGGCCACTAGCCACATACTACCCTCTCCAACTACCAGCAATATGCTCCTCCATTCCTGTTTGTCCAACACAACCACTTAGAAGTAAGCACATGCTGTTGCCACACCACTCTGCCTCTGCCTCTTCTTCCAGTTATACTTAGTTAAGTATTCAAATTGGTCTTCCAGACAAATCATCTCCCCAGGAGATGCTGAGACAATGGCCAAGATCTTGAAACTTCAGGTCAAACCCTGAAACGCAGCAATCCACATGCATATGACTGTACATGAACATACATGAACACAAATGCATGCATACACGCGTGCGTACACAAATTCTAAAAAAAAAAAAAAGGAAATCCTTTATGTCCAGCATTTTAGCTTTTTGACATCCAGTGTGGTGTAGTGGTTAAGAGCGGTAGTCTCGTAATCTAGGGAACTGGGTTCGTGTCTCCGCTCCTCCACATGCAGCTGCTGGGTGACCTTGGGCCAGTCACACTTCTTTGAAGTCTCTCAGCCCCACTCACCTCACAGAGTGTTTGTTGTGGGGGAGGAAGGGAAAGGAGAATGTTAGCCGCTTTGAGACTCCTTAAAGGGAGTGATAGGCGGGATATCAAATCCAAACTCCTCTTCTTCTTCTTCTTCTTCTTCTTCTTCTTCTTCTTCTTCTTCATTTGCCAAAGGATACTGTGGCCACTTACCAAATTAATTAAATATTCAAAATGGCTGCCAAACAAAATGGCTGTTTGTCGGACTCTTGAACAGAATAGCTTCCCTTTTTGTGATTGACAAAAGCAACTAGGCCTGCTCCTCCATTCTCTCTTTCCCACTCCCCCACTTCTCTCTTTGACCCTATTAGTCGCCACCAGGCCTTATTTGACTAGTGTGCTGTGATCTCACATCTAAGATAATATTTGGATAGCTGCATTGTGTGTAACACAGGTGACTCACACTGGAAATTCCCTTGTGAATTCTCACCCTACAGGAAAAGGGGCAGCTGTGCTAACGTGGGAACTTCCCAGAACATGGTCTACACGGCTCACTTGATTCAGTTACTGAACATTACCTGAGAGGTATGGATCTAGCCAGATAGAAGCAACTCTCACACGGTACCACTATTGCCATCACACATGGTGGGGAACTTTTGGCCCTCCAAATGTTGATGAACTAAAAATCATTGGTCATGCTTGCTGAGGCTGATGGGAGTTGTAGTTCAGTGAACATCTGGAGGGCCAAAGGTTCCCCACACATGAAAGCAGGCCAGAGAGATGGATAGATTGCAATAATCCCAGCACTCAGAGCCATTAGAAACACAGAACCAACTACATTTTCACTCTGAGATGCTGCTAGGTTTTTAGGCATTGCTAATTTTAATAATATGCATAAACATCATCCTGATTCCAGAGGGGCGGGAGGCAGAGACTGAACGTTCTGTTAGGTCCCATATGCATGACAAGAAATAATGTTCTTGCCAGATTACAAATGTAATAGGACTCACTATCCTCCCCTCAAATAACAGTGCACTTCAACTGCTCCCTGTTCCAAGGAAGAAATAGAGTGTTTTTACCCTGCAGAATATTTAGGCAGAATCAACATGAGGACTCCCAGCTGAATAGTGAAAGGTCGTGAATACATCTGCATTCAATCCACCAGTGAAAGAACCAATGGTTCAGGTGTGAGATATCCGTGTGGTTGTTTCAAAAGCTTCTACAGCTCTCTATTTATCAGTAGGCCTGGCTTAGCAGCCAATATCAAAAGGAGGTTTTTAGATGTTAAAAGCTTATAGGTTAGCACATACAAATGACTGGAATAATTATTCTTCTGTGAATACCCCAACATGGGTAATTTTAGACATAGCTTATGTAACACCCATCTTTGGCTGGCTAGTATAATGAAAAGAAGGGATCTATACTACGTTCAGTGTTAGCAACTTAAGAGACAATTTTTACCTCAGTTACAGTATAACTGATATGGTCACACTAAATTAACCTTATGGGGTAATTCAGAGAGGCAGCTTTGTATTGAGCGGGGAAGGGGAGAAAAGGGTTGAATGTGGGATATATACATGAGATCAGGTGATAGGCTCAGATGGGGGGGTGTCAATGTCATTTCCTGTTTACAGTTTAAACATCAATTACCAGCAAGTGCTGAATGGTGGGATCTTCCACTACAACATTTGTTGGTGTCTATTTATGGGCCATCTGCTTTGAGCACTTCAGCATCATCTCCTAAATTGTTGGAGGGAGATATTGGCTCCTTACAGAAAGCTAAATCCAAAACTGTTGTTTGAAAGGTAATCCAGGAACTCAGAAAAGTTTGGAATAGGAAATTAGAGTGTATCATACAGCCTAAACAAAGAGTGGGGAAATTCCAGCCCAAGGCCAATTTGGGCACCCTGAGCAGTCTAATTTGGCCTACAAGGTCATTTCCACCAAACCATGCCCACTGTTCCACTGTGCATCTCTGGGCTGCTTTTATGCTTGCACGCCTGAGGCAAAAGCTTTCTTTTCATCTTCATCTTCAAACATCTAGAAAAAAGTATGAATAGTGGACGTCAAGAGCCAGAGTAAATTATCCAATCATATCACGTTTGAAATCATTGTTACAAATATGGCAATGTCAAAAAACAAATAAAAAACAAGCCAGCATTAGATGTGCAAAGAAATCAGTTCAGAAAAAATGCATCCCTACTACTGCCAAGCTGAATGCTGTAATAACAAGACATAGATTGAGAAAAACAAAAGGGCAACTAGACCTGTTCTCAGGAAGATACCAAATAGAGTGTACATGGTGCATGTGAAAACATATGAACCATTTATTTAGGACAATCAATAAGGAAAAACTCCAACAACGCACAGAACCAGAAAGGACTGGAGTATAACTACTGAGAATGATCGCGGCAGATTAAAATTTACTGTGTTCTAAGGAACTTGCTAGGGACGCGGGTGGCACTGTGGGTTAAATAACAGAGCCTAGGACTTGCCGATCAGAAGGTCAGCGGTTCGAATCCCCGCAACGGGGTGAGCTCCTGTTGCTAGGTCCCTGCTCCTGCCAACCTAGCAGTTCGAAAGCACGACAAAGTGCAAGTAGATAAATAGGTACCGCTCCGGTGGGAAGGCAAATGGCGTTTCCGTGTGCTGCTCTGGTTCGCCAGAAGCGGCTTAGTTATGCTGGCCACATGACCCAAAAGCTGTCTGCGGACAAACGCTGGCTCCCTCAGCCTATAGAGCGAGATGAGCGCCGCAACCCCAGAGTTGGCCACGACCGGACCTAATGGTCAGGGGTCCCTTTACCTTTACCTTTAAGGAACTTGCTATTCAGCCATCACATTATGTTCGTTTAACTTTTTTTTTGTATTACACTGAGGATTTAGAAAGACAGAAGTGATCTAGAAGGAGAAATCTATTTGAACACACATTGATTGCTCAGTGCAGTAGACAAAGACACAAACAAAGTTGCTCTGTCAGAATATTTTTCTGCGGCTTTAACACATCTGAAAGAGCAATATACTAAATTAGACAACAGCTGTTTCTACAATACTCAGAGATAATCTGGGGCAACCTTGTGTTCATACTTTAGTCATTGGGTCATGTATGCATATGTTTCTTTCTAAAAGCCAATTCACTACTCCTTTGCAAGGTGAGAGAAGAACCTCACCAAAGAATGCCAATATGTGTAGATCAAACAACAATGAAACATCTGGACTAACCTGGGTTCTGTCACTGTGGTAGTTTCTGCCAATCCATATGGCAGTGGACTACCATCAGCCACTCACACACCAAAGGAGGCCGATAGCAGTTCAGGACTCAAGTGAAGAATAGGCTAAAGGATTCTTTGCAGTCATGGCAGTTTAAAGTGATATGATATGGTTAAATGTATGGCGCAGATGGAACCTAAGACAGGGAAAAAAACTCCCATTATGCCATTAGTCTTTCCTCAGTCATCAATGCTAATTTTTATTACAAAATAATAATAGGGATGCCAATTCAGGACCATTCCAGGTGCTGAAATTTCAGGGCCAAAACCTAAGACCTAGGAAAGGCCCTGGAGACGGAGGTTAATTGGGAGAGGGGTGAGGAGGATGGCAGACCCCCATAGTGTCTATGCTTTAATCTGTGGCCAGCTCCTGACATCAAACGTTGACATTTGGGCAGCCTTGAGCCAGAGTTGAAGAGGGCAAAGGAGCAATTTTTAAATTTTTTTTTAATCTTTGGACAATAGGCTAATTTCTACACACACTTACTCACCCTTCTGTATCCTTCACCCAAGCGACCGAGAAGCTTTATCAGAATTCAAGGATACATTCCAGCCAGGCAAAAACAGTCACAAGGAGTATGAAAGAAGGGTGTCCCTGGGGGGAGTGTATGTAACTAAGAAGGGGATGTGGCCAGGAAATAATTCTGAGGGCCAGAGAGAGAAATCTGGGGAAGGAGTGCACTTGTTGGAGCCTCTGCTATGACTGAGTTACTCCTCCTCCAGTCGAGTCCTTCGGAATCACCTCCAACGATGATTAACGACCTGAGCCTTTGATGAGGCTCCAGGCACATTCCCATTACGCAGAGTATCCAGTACGCAGGGAAGGACAAGAAAATATGAGCTACATTGCAAAGAGTGTTTTATTTCTAACTACGCAGACAGAAAAGAAACATCCTCTCTCTGTGAGAGCAGAGAGCAACTGAAAACAAAGGAACAGGAAACCAGTAACATCACATCCGTCTTCCGTGAGACTTCCAACAGCCTGGAATCTCTGGAATGCAAAACAGAGTCTTGTGACTCCAAGAGCACTGCACAGTGGCAACACACAGAAACCTAACATCACTTGATGGGTGCAGTGGGTGAGGACCGCCCTGGGTGTCATCAGCGAGGGGGGTAACATTTGGCACGTTGCCTGCCCATGACTCCGGCCTACCATGAGCTGTCGGGGGAAGGGGGAGCTGCGTCGCTTTGCAGTTTTGACAGCCCCGTGCTCCCGGGCTGCAAGTGGAGGGTGGAGGGAAGGATAGAAGCAGAAGCTCCCTCAACACAGGAGCTCAGGACCCCAGCCCTGTAACTCCAAAAGAAGCTCAACAACTTCGGTCAACCCTCCCCTAAAAAAAACTGAACAACTCCTGGCAATGACAATGGGGAGATCACAGCCAGTCTTTTTTATTATTATTATTGTTAGTACATCACAGTCTCTTGGGAGCCCAACTAGATTTCAATGTTGGGGGGGGGGGGAGTGACAAGAATTTTTTTGCACCGGGTACCACCTGACCTTGCTACGCCACTGGCCAAATGCAGCAGTGAAATGTCTTGAGCTGGCTTTCTTTGGAGAATTAAACATTCCAGCAGAGAAACATGCCCAGAGCCCTGTGTGGTCAATTTCTGCATACGTTGGTGCACATAAAGGAAGGACGTACGCAGGCACTCATGTTCTTTTCTTTCCCCTGCTTTCCTAATGCTAAACTGGCCAATTAGGCAATAAGATTGCATGCCCTGTTGACATTAGATTAACACAGGCTTCTTCTTCTTCTTCTTCTTCTTCTTCTTATTATTATTATTATTGAAGGATTTCAGTGCTGCTACCCAAAACCTGCACAGAAATGGTGGCGGAGTCTCTAAAATGTTTAGAGAACAAGCTCACACTCCTGAGCCTGCTTCCAGTTTCCAGTGGTATTGGAACAGAAGCCAGGATAAATCCTGTTGTCACAAAAGAACAAGTTCTAGTATACATTCAACCACACTGAAAAATGTTCAAGCAACATTAAGGATATAACTGAAGGCCACAAAAGCCAGGAAATTTATCATTGGGGTTGGGAAAGCTGTCCTTAACTCACCCTCAGTGTGTGAAATAAGACCGTTTAGGATTGCACAGCTTATTCCTAAACCTGCTCTGAGCAGAGCGAAAGGAGAACGGTGGGGGGAAGCATTGATACTGGCCAGTTTTCCGCAGCTACCTTTGCCTGCACAAACCCCTCTGGAACTCGTAATCGGAACCGTGATTTATTTCAGTCAAGATCTGAGGATGTTGTTTGCTGAGTTCAGTAGTCACTCCTTTGGAGTCCTTCTGCTCAATTGGGAAGGGATTACTTGGTCTAGTTCAGTGGTTCTTGAGCTTTCCAGCTTTGGAAAAAAACTTTGCGCATTGTCTTGCCCGCAAGTCTGCCCCAGAACCCCTTCTGTGTTGCAGAGGTTTCTAGGGTACCAGGTAAAGCATATTGTAGAGTTAGGGAAGATGCTGAAAATGGCAAACTAAATAATTATGGGACC